AAAAACCAAATTTTTGTATGATTAACCATATTGATGATTGTGGCATTAACCCTGAATGAGATCTCCATAATTTTTTTCCATGTTTACCCAAAAAGGGGAAAAGGACTTTTAATTAGTTATTTTGGTGCACGTGAACCCAAAGTCCAATATAGCTGTTCTCATTACATTAATAAATTTTTACAATTAATATATTATTTAATAATTAATTTTTTTACTCTATTAAAATGAATAATATTGTATACATATTAATTATTTAATAAAAAATAAAAATTATAAAAATAGATTTTACAGGCATATCATATATATATATATAAAGTCCTAAAGTAAATGTCTAGTTGATGGTTCTGATCATATACAGTTAGTATTACTCCAGCTGTGTGGCGGTAATTAGTTTCTTTATTTAAATAAATGGCAATTAGAAAGAAAATGGTTGCTGAAAGATCCTTTTCAATGGGGAATTTTATAATTAATTTGGCATGCCATTTCATGAACTAATTATTGGTTAGTTGCAATATCATTTTAGAAACTCATTAAGTTTTTGGTTCCTTTAGTTAGACTCTTTTCATTAATTTTCAGCCATGTGATTTCCAGAGACATCAAAACAAATATTATATATATCATTTTAAAATTTAACATGATTTATATCCACTTTTCTTTCTATAAAAATTCAGTTAATAAATATACTTCTTATCCATAACTAAATGTGTTTTAATTTTAAACAACGATATAAGGATATCTTTTTTTATATGATTTTTTTATATAATTTTTATATATTATTAAATAAATAAATACACTTAATATCAAAAATTCTAAACAAATAAAAAGAACCAATTTAACTCATAAGGTTATATTAAAAAAATAGTATAAAAAATTATTCTTAAATCATTTCCTTTTAATTTTAACATGATTTCGCATTGTTCGAATTAATGTGTCCTGATTTTCGACGGAAAAGCAAGAGTTTAATTGGGCTCATAATTGTAATTTGAGAAAAAAATAAGAAGAAAATTAGTCGATAAAGATTTTTTTTTTGAGCAAAATTTATAATTTAGTTTGAGGGTAGGTTTTTTTTTTTTTT